TATTAATAAGAACACACTGCACTCCATTAGTTTCCTGTATTGTTTATATTAATAAACAAAAGAGAGGCTGAAGATCAATCATATTAAAGCACAGGACTATCAATGAGTATCTCAGTGAGGGTACCTTATGCAAGGCTTTGACCATTAGATTTCTGTGTATTTATTAAATGAAAGGATCAGGTGATGTTCATAGAGGTATTGACACAGCAAATATTTAGTTGACCTCAGTAACTTTCAAGATAAATAAATAAATCCCTGTCTTACCCTACGCATAAAAATCAAGTCTACAAAGATGAAAGTCGTGAACGTGAAAAACTTTGGCACCTCCCCCACTGATGTGGGAATGTCAAACAGTGCTGCTGCTGTGGACCCCGGTGTGGCAGCCCTCACAAAGGTGGGCTGTGAAACTCACGTGACCTGGTCGTCTCAATCACAGGCATACACCAGAAAAGTAAAGACAAGAACACAAACAGAAAACTGCAGACTAGTGGTCGTTGAAGCACTCTTCACACGGGCCGAAAGGCAGAAACCACCGACACGCCCACCAACAGATGAGTGGAAACACCAGATGTGGTGAACACACTCAAATGGACTATCCCTCAGCAGTGAAGAGAAGTGATGTCCCGACACATGCCCTAACATGGATGAGAGCATCATGCTGAGCAAAATAAGCCAGTCAAAAAGAAGAAAATCATTTCATTTCTATGACCAAATCAAGCTCATGTTGTCTCACTTATATGACCAAAACAAACTCATCAAGTTGTTTCCGACTCAGAGACCCTATAGGACATGACAGAACTGACCTGTGGGTTTCTGAGACTGTAACTCTTTACAAGAGTGAAAGCCATCTTTTTCTCCCGAGGAGTGAGAAGTGTCTGGTGGTTTTGAACTGCTAACCTTGAGTTGCAGCCCAACCTGTAAACCACGGTGATCCAACAATTCTACTTCGAAGCTCTCGTATGCTCACATGACGTTTCAATAATGTGTCCATCAACCAGACAATGAATGTTGTGTGGGGTTTTCAACTCAGAAATCCCAAGTGATGGAGCAGAACTGCCCCATTGGGCTTTCTTCACTTTAATCTTTACAGAAACTGAGTCCCTGGCCTTTCACTCTTGCAGCCATTGGTCAAGTTTAAGCATCTGCACACCCAGGGCTCCTTTGAGGACAATGGAGGAACTGTGATGTGTTCGTCCTGTGGCCAATAGACTAGACATTGTCCTAAGGGAAAAATCAAGTATGTAGAGTGGATATCCCATTATATATCTTTAATCTTGAAAATTTAACAACAGCAAAAACAAAAACACTGCCATAATGTTGATTCTAAACCACAGAGACTCGACACAGGGTTTCTGAGACTGCAGACCTTTTTGGGAAGAGACACTAAGCCTCATCTTTCTCTCAAGGTATGGCTGGTGTAGCTAGCAGCCTAACCACAGCACCAACAGAGCTCCTTTTTGAAAATTTATATTATAATTTTAATTATAGAGTATATTTATCAACTGCTTACTATATGCCAAAGGAGCCCTGGTGGTATAGTGGTGATGCATTGGGCTGCAAACCCCATGGTGGGCAGTTCAAAACCACCAGCAGCTCAGAGGGAGAACGACTGGGCTCTCTACTCCTGCAAACAGTTAGTCTCAGTAACCCACAGGGGGTTGATATGAGACAGCATTGACTCGATGGGAGCAAGTCTGGTTCGGTTTTCTATTCGCATGAAGTTTTACAGCCTCGGAAACTCAGAGGCAGCTCTACCCTGTTCTCCAGGCTCACAACGAGACGGCATTGACTCGAGGGCAGTGAGTTTGGTTTCAGTTTGTTACTATATTCCAAGGATGCGCTGTGTTCACCACGGTTATCTCACTTACTCTCCACAGGACCTATGAAGTTCTACTATTACACTCTTTGTAAAGACGAGGAAAGTGTGAAAAGATAGATAATTTATCCAAGCTCACAGAGCTATCGATGGCCCATCTCACAGAACTCACTTCAGGCTGTGTGTTCTACTGCAGAAAAATCAGTCCCTGAATACCATACGAGTATACAGTTCTGCTCCCAGAATCAGAACTGACCAGGCAGAGAGGGTTTGGAGGGGCTTATACTATACTGTACTTCCACTCTATCGAAGAATTGGGTAGCACTCAAGGTATACAGTATAACACAGAATATCATAAAATTAGGATTAAATGTCCTTGAATAACATTGTTTAGCAACCATTTTGGGGGGCTGCTTACCTTTTCTTGTGGACAAAACCCAATGAGAGCACAGCATATCAAATACTAATTAGCAACATGAGGGAGTAAAGGAAGTAAATGAAGGGTATGAATGGGAGGGAAAGCAGAGTCAGTCCACACAGCCTCTCTGGCCCTTGTACCCAGGTCACTAGTGCTGAAGTTGATCTCCTGGTTTGGCAACACAATGCTTATGCTAGACAGGATCACTGGAGGAAGCCGAGTAAAGGGTACAGGGGAATTTGTTGTACTATTGGGGGGAGGTGGGCAACTTCTTATTTTAAAATTACTTCAAATTAAAAAGTTATTTCTTAAAAATAGGCTTAAAGAAAGTTGAAACACTTCCCCCACAAGGAATATTCATCACAGGTGGGCTGAAGATTACTATTAGCAGAGAAACTTCAAGAGATGGGTTCAACATCCCAAAGTCAATCAAGGTGTACACACAACAATACAGAAATATGCACAGCCACACAGTCTCAGAGTAATTGTGCCAACTGAAAGAAGGCACAGACAAGCAAAGCATAGCAGCTATTCAAAATGCTCGAAACGGAAACCAATCACCCGTGAGAAAAGTAGGGAACTGGTAACCAGGGGCGAGCGGTTCAGAGGGAAGGGCCAAGTATGTTTCCTTGGTGGGCATGTAACGAATGATGCAATGGTGTCATGAATCCACCTGCCAAAACTTAGCCAGGTGTACATGCTGAATATGTGCAATTCATTGTAAGTGAAACATACCTGAATAAAACCATAAAGAATATCCACGAACATAATTCATGAAATCAACAGGCCAAAGAAAGAAAAACATGATTATTTCAATAAATGCAGAAATGCATTTGACAAAACCTAACAACCTACTCCTGATAACGCTCAAAACACCAGTCATTGATCATAATTCTCTAAATCTGCTAGGCAGAACATCTTTAAAATTAAATATATATATCTACAGCTATCATTATACAAAATGTGAACAAATGAACAATCTCCCCCTAAGATAGGGAACAGAGCCGTCCCCTTCCACACAGCAACACTATACTGGAGGGCCTCACCAGATGGTACAAAATAAGAAAAAGGTATATAAGGATCCAGATTCGAAAGGAAGAAATGAAAGGATCTTCAGTCACCAACATCACTGTCTCCATACAAAATTTCTCAAATCTACATAAAACGACTAGAACTAGCAAGCTGAACAAGGTAGCAAGAAACAAAATCAAGACCCCCAAATCACGAACTTTTAGGAATAAATCTGAAACATAGGTGCAGGATTTGAATGCAGAAACATACAAAACACTGATCAGTAATAAATACACTAGTGCTTTTTACCTAATGGTTATTTACATTTAAAAGGTAAATGCACCTACTTTTGACAAAGCTGACTAAAGAGAACTTTAGGGGAAAGTGGTCCTCTCTCAGTCTCCTTCATGGTGTGAAGAAACAGGAACAAGGCTGAGGTCAGTGGCCCAGGGCTTGAAAGTTCCACCATTAATGGATCCTGCAAAAAACATGATCAACTCTGAGTCAGAAATACTATGTATCACTTAAAAAAAATCTAAGAGTTATACATTGTTTAAATGATGGCAGTTACCTTGCCTCATGTGTATTAAGACTTCATTAGCATATTAAAACAGGGAAATATTAAATGTGTTATCTTGAGAAACTCATATTTTAACATTCTTTCCCTTCAATTTATAAACCTATTCCATAAGCATGGAATCATTGCTCTTTAATTATTTTTTATAATCCCTTAATGTACTTTCTCACAAATAAAATTATCGATCAACTTTGCATTTATAGAACTTCATAAATTAGATTTCGTAGGAAAACTCATGTTATTTTCTCCCAAATATTTTACCAACTTAATAGGAAATTATCCAAGATTATTATTTTGCAATAAGCACTCTTAGATCTTATTTCTAATTGTTTTCAAAATAATACACAAACTTTGTGCAGACACACCCACACACATAAAACAGCTCTATTTTGAACAAAAATCATTATTACTAGTGTTGATACCTTCCAAGCATAGACCACCAGGAACACAGCTATAACTGAACAAGTTGGGTTCATTACTCATTGCAAAGAGGGAAAACACATACCTGGGACCATCAAGGGGTGTCAAAGTTACAGGGCATTTAAAAGAACCTCTTCAAAGGATTTGGGGTTTGAGAAATTTGTGGAAGGGACTATAGAAACAGAGATTCTTTCTAGACTGGCTGTGGTCAGAAAATGAAGGAAATTCTGTGACTGAGCATCTCAGTAAATCTTCTCTGTGAGAGAAAACTAGAAAAAGCTGTAACTGGCAAAGGAAAAAACCTGGTTCAATTATAATATTAGAAAAGGACAGTGGTGAGAGTTGCACAGCATGATGGATGCAATGAATGTCAGGAATTGTACAAGGAACAATGCTAAAGTGGAAACCGTTTGAGATACAGACACAAAACTGTCATAATTTTAAAAATAGTAGTATTATTTAAAAGTAGGAGTTAACTCCACGTGGCAGAGAGAGGGGCATCTGGAATTTTGTGGGTGGCAGATTGACCTTCTTTTTTTGTCTGTGTTTGGACAAAACTGAGGTCTCCTGGTCTCGTTTGATCAGAACCTCTAAATAAATAACCTGGCCTGTGGCCCGTGTTCTGAGAGGCTGGTTATAGCCACAGAACCGCAGGCTCTCACTGTGAGTGCCAGGCCAGCCTCGGAGTCTCAGGGGTTACTCCTTTTTATTCAGTCCTTTCTCACCAGCTTAAAACCATCATCAGATTAGGCTCCCCAGACCTTTAGTTGCCCACTATTAAATTAAATTGGCCTTTAAGGAACAAACAGGCAATATTTATGCAACTGCTATCAGAACTATAAAATAAGCTCTAAATATTTTCTTCAACAAAAGACAAACTTCATTTGTTTTTTCCTAGTATGTTTGTTTGCTTCAATTTTTTAATATTTTTTGATCTTTGATAGGTTTGAACTATTAAAGCTTCTTTTTTTATTTTTTATTAAAGCTTCCTAAAGCTACGTTTTTCAAGGTTTGAAACTCGATTACTTTCACAAATTCTTACAAATTTTTGCTTTTAAAATGTCATTAAACTTCCATACCACTTGACAGTTCTGATAACCAGGATGGGAAAATTTCAGAAATATCAGTGTTTCAACTGAAAAGATCAACTGTCTAGATAGTTTGAGTTCTTACTCACCAGTTGACAGTCCAAAGAAGGAAAGATCTTTAATTTTGTACCATTTTCTTTGATCTCATTCATTAGTTCAGTAAGAATGTAAGTCTGTGCCAAGTTCTAAAATAAAACAAAAGTCATCTCTTGATTTGGTAACGTCTCTGAATAAAATATAAAAGTTTCACATTTCAGTTAGCTTCGCAGTCTACAGTTAGCAGCCCAATGCCTAACCACTACACCTCAGGGTCACATTTCATTTAGCAAAGCAACAGTGTATTTAAGAAAATATTTAAAATGTTAGTCAAATGCATATTGTGTGTGGTATATGTCACTA